ATGTATGTCCTAGCTCTTACATGACAGAAAGAATACAGTCTTTCTGAGAGGTTTGTGTGATGTGATTAAATACAATACTGTACTCTTTTCTTCAAAAGACCTTACATTTTATCACTATTGTACTTTTACATCATATCATTCCAATCACTGTCTCTATCCTTTAGATGATTGTGGTCCTATACAGTTAGTATATTTACTATAGATATTACATTGGTGTCATAACACATAAAAACACCTCATTTCTACTTTATTACATCCTTGGTTCAATTTGGTTCTCTGGGCCATATAACTTACACTGTAAAATTTCTCAATGGTCATGGATGCATCAGAGCTTGCTTGAAAGGCTTCACTAGGCTCTGGCTGCTCATATTTCCTGGGGGACAGGTGCCTGATACTTAATGATTATAATGCACTCCAGAGTCACAGACTCTAGTGGTATTGGGAGACAATACCACAGACAGGTGGTATTGGGAGAGCGTGAAAGGGACAAAAGGCAGTGTGAGAGCTGAGTGTGGTGGTTCACGCCTGAAATCCCAGCCTCAGGAAGCTGAGGCAGGAGGATTGCTTCAAGTTCGACACCAGCCTGGGCTACATAATGAATTCCAGGGTAGTCTGAACTACATAGTGAGACCCTCTCTCAAAACAAACAAACAAAACAAAAAAAACCCCAAACAAACAAAAGGCAGTGTGAGAAAAGAGATTCATATGCATTCTGCCAAGAGTGGCTGTGCACAAGGTTCAGCACACAGAGCAGAGACGGTTTAGCCTGGGCCCAAAGCACAGGCTTGGATCATCCACCCTGGTCCCCACCCATTCAAGAGTGACACTTGATGAGGAACAGATTCTAAAAACCAAAACACCTAAGCCAACAGATTTTCTGCCTAAGATAAATGATAACTGTAGATGTCCGTTTCTTTAGCTCAATGATATCCCACTATCCTCATCAAGAGCAAATTACCAGGTGAAAATACAGTCTTCAGTTGTAACCTGTAAATCTATAAACTGAGGACAGTAAATGTCAACTGTCTCTGCGTTTCTCTGGCATAGACCCAGTGGATTTATTTCTAGCCTAGAATATAATGCAAAAAAACAAGCAGGAGGGACTGGTGGCCTACCTCCACCCTTACGTAAGGAAGGTTTGCTTTCTTTTTTTTGGTACCAGGGATCAAACTCGGGTCCTTGCGCTTGCAGTGGCAGGAGGCAGAACCACTGAGCTAAATCCCAGGCCCAGGTTTGATTTCTTGACAGGACCTTACTTCCTTTGGATGAAGGGATCTTCAGTAATGGAAAAATTTGTGAATCTCTGAATATCTATGCATGTAGGAAGCGCTGCAGGGTGTAAGTGCAGGGTATGCTGCTTTCCCTTGGCATTCAAGTTCCCAGAAAAGGTAAAGAAGAGAGACGATCAAGGAAAGGAAATATGCCATGAGGCAGGAGGATCACTTCGAGTTTGAGGCCAGCCTGTGGTACATAGTGAGCTCAAGGCCAGCCTGAACTACATAACAAGACTCTGTCTCAAAAAGCTAAAATAAATAAATAAATAAAAATAATAAATAAAGGAAATGTGCCAGAAGGCTAACACAGTTTTGAGAGCTGATAACTTGTTAGAGCTCACCCAACCAAATTTCCCCAAATGAACTTACTGGTGAAGCTCTGTGGCCCAGGCTGCCTGCCACGTTTCTTACTGTCATGGTCACAGTTGTCCATTTTCCTCCATTTGACATCATTTCCTCCTGGCTCTTCTTTCTCTCTGTGAAACTCCACAGCTCTCTGCCAGTCCATATTTTTAGGGCCCCTAGCAGGGGGCTGCAACAAGGGCCTGGACCCGTGTACAGCCTCACTCTTCAAAGTCGAACCGCTCTGAGGATGCCAAGGAAGGACCGGGAGCTCTCCACTAGCTGCCTTCTCAGCCGTTTCTTTCACCTCCGCTGCACACAAGCGGAAACAGCCTTGAAAGTGTCACCGTGAGACTGGAAACAAAAGCTTCCATCCTAGAGATGTGTGACCCTACTCTAGCCCACACTGTAATAATAGCTGCCTTTGTGCAGTTGCATCTTCCTTAGCTTGCCCTGTTTGGCTTGATGGGCAGGGGAGAGCAGATGACAGGACAGGAAAGGCATTTCAGTTAGTTACCCCCAAACAGTCCTTGCTGCTGCATTCCACTTGAAGACAGCAGAAAGCTTGCAGATGGATACTCTTGATAATTTAACAAAAACATGGACATCTGAAATTCCTGGAAATGGTAGTTAATGGAATGGGTTTGATTTGAGTTTGCCTAGTTTTTCTAGACCACTGAGCTCATACGTTAGGGGTATGAAGATATATGCCTGTTTTCATTTCAAACATTCCAGACTTCTGCTAAGGTAACTAGTACTAAAAAACAGACAATGCCAGTAATCCCAGCACTCCGGAGGCTGAGGCAGGAGGATTGCATAAGTTCAAGGCCAGCCTGAACTACACAGTGAGACTGTCTCAATCATCAATCAATCAGTCAGACATTGTGGCTGGGCATGGTGGCACATGCATATAATCCCAGCACTCAGGAGGCTGAGTCAAAAGGTCTGCAATTTAGAACCCAGCCTGGGGAATTTAGTGACTTAGTGAGACTTTGTCTCAAAATAAACATTCAAAAAAGCTGGAGATGTGGGTTAGTACCAAGACCCTGGTTCAATCCCTAGTACCACAGCAACAACAATAACAGCAGATACTGTATCCTTTTACTATGCTTACAAGATAAAACAGATAACAAAGGATAATGTTCACACATATGGGAGAGTTCATACAGTTCATACAGTATGGGAGAGTGACTCCACTTTAATAAAGTTTATTATAAAACAAGTATATGTGGGCCAGGGATTTAGCTCAGTGGTTCCACCACCTGCCTCACAAACGCAAGGTCCCAGGTTTGATCCCCAGTTAAAAAAAAAAAAAAAAGTATATTGTGTATGTTTCCTTTTTTTGTAAATGATTTTTGCTGTGTTGTTCAGACTGGTCTCAAACTCATGGGTTCATGCGATCCTCCCACCTCAGCGTACTGAGTTATTACTCCAGGCATGCACCACTATGCCTGACTATGTGTATTATTTTATTGTGCATGTTATATAACACATGCATACATGTATGTATGTATAAAATAGAAATATTTCCTATAAGGTCTGACAATGAAAAAAGCATTTCCCTTATGTACTCTGTAGTCAGAAGGGCTTTGCTTTTAATATGGAATTATCTCATAGAAAAAAATGTGGGAAGACATTGCTAAAGTTTTAAAGAGTGAAATACAGAATATGTATTTAGGGATATCATCCAGGGGCTGAGGGTGTAGGTTCAGTGGAAAAGCAGTTGTTAACATGCACGAGGCTCTCCCTCAGTTTGAGCCCTATCACCATGAAAGACACTGAAAAACAGACTGTGTGTGTGAATGAGAAGAAATGCACTTAAAATTTCATTTTGTCTATCAAAACCCATGACTTCATACTCATTTTTCCATTTTAAGTGTAATCTAACATGTTTCCTGACTTCACATTTTATATTACAGAAGTCACAGATATCCCACACTGATCCTAAATTCCATAGATTTTGGGGGGAGGGGTTAGATCAGGGTGAACATAAATAAATACACCAGTTTGTTCAAATTCCTAACAATTCAAAGCCCAGAACCATCCCAGGACTCCCTGCCCTATTCCTGGGGTTGCACTGACTCCTGTCTGCCACCAGAGAGCGCCAGACTGCAAGGTTCCTTACCTGGTAGAGCCCTGCGGAGAACTAGGTGACTCGGGACCTCTCGCATGGGTTGACATGAGGAAAAGTGCGCTCTCTAGCTCTGTGCCTTTGGCCAACGCATTGGTCTTCCTTTCCCTGACTGAGAAATGAAGACTGGGCTAGAAGATCTCTGAAGATTTTCCCAGTTTCCAAGTTAAGATTTTACGATTACAATTTTTTCTTGGGGGGCCAGGGATTTAGCTCAGTGGTTTCGCTGCCTGCTGTGCAAGCGCAAGGACTCGAGTTCAATCCTCAGTACAAAAATTTTCAGAAGTAAAAGAAACCCACAACTGAAACTCAGTTGCACCAGACAGAAGTCCGATCCCCTGGGTTGGTACCTCAAACACAGGTGATAGTTTAGGAGAAGTTCAGTTCCTTCCCTTCCATCAGACTTCCCTGGTAACAGGCCCACCTGAGTATCAGTGAGAGCACAGTAACTAACATTGTAAAGATGGCCATAAGGCACCAGGACTGGGAAGAACATTCTGAGACCTTAGTTTACTCTTACGGAGTTCTGGACCCTGACTTCCTGGGTTAGCTGTCTGACTTTGGCATAGAGTAATCTGTCGTGACCAGGTTTTTTCAACTATAAAAAAGGAAGTCTTTTCCTCTAATTTCCTATAATTTTATGATCTACTAAACTAACTCTTCAATAAAGTGTGATCTATGGCACAGATATGATGTTCCCGTTGTTTAGAATGTACCACCGCTCCCCCAGCAGGACTGGAAAGCAGAGAGGTCAGCTTGATCAGCTTCTTTAAAGAACTCTTTGGGAATAACTAACAAGAATCTTTAAAATGATCAAACCCTTTGACCTAGTGACTCTGCTTTTGGGAATCTGTCCTGAGAACATAATTCAAAATGTAAGAAAAATATTATTTGTAAGTCACCGTGACCTTGTTCCTAAAAGAATAAAGAATGCAACGAACTGAAATTCAACCATAGGGGGAATCTAACAATTTCAAAATAAGTTTACAGAGTTTTAAAAAATTACATGGGAATAGGGCCGGGGATTTAGCTCAGTGGTGCCGCCACCTGTCTCGCAAGCACAAGGTCCCGAGTTCGATCCCCAATACAAAAAAAAAAAAAAAAATTACATGGGCTAATACTTATGTTCTAATGCAAAGTGAAGTATCAGGATATAAAACTGCCTACACATATAATTATTGTAATTTTATTTTTTTAAAGCATATAAAAAGTATAGATAAATAGGTAGCAAAATGCTAAACTTTTATTTGGTCTTTTCTGTTCTTTTGGGGAAAGAGGGTGAAGCTGCACAGGCATAGGCATTTCTTTGTTATCTAACAGCACTAATGTTGCTTCTATCAATGCCATGAGTGCTGAGCCTTCTAATGCCAGGTAGGTGTTTCTTCATAAATTCCCTCATCAGGGTAAAATACACTGGTCTAAAATAGCTGAGCATTTTTCTTCATTTTCCTTTATAAACATATTTACCAACCTAAAAGGAAGCACAAACTCTTGTCATTAATCTCAGTCACCAATGAGGGGAGGTCCAGAACTGGCTTCAAAGCTGTAGATTAGGGTTGTCATTTATTACCAGAAGAGAAAAACCAAAATTGATATACTGGTTTAGCTTGAAAAACATTTTAAAAGGAGGGTTTTTTCCTTTCATTATTAAAGGTAGGTAAAGAAAAATATCAGATGATTATTGACTTGATTATCCTGAAATGAAAAGGTATGTGAGAAACAAATTCCTAAGCAGATTTTGACTAATGGCCTGAGTAGATGTTTACTCCGTTGCACAGAATGTTGTAAAGCCTGTTGTTTTTGGAAGTGTTCATGGTAAGCTTTCTTAAAAATTACTAAATACTGAGCCGGGGATTTAGCTCAGTGGTTCTGCCACCTGCCTCGCAAGCACAAGGACCTGAGTTCGATCCCCGGTACAAAAAAAAACAAAATTACTAAATAATTCTGAAATCCAGCACACTTTTTTTTTTTTTTTGGTACTGGGGATCGAACTCGGGTCCTTGATTTTTTTTTTAAGTTTTGTCATTTCTATTATGAGTCTTTCAGATGAAAATCTGATGTTGGGTAGGCATTCCTTATACTTTTAGTACCACTCCAGAGGCAAGGAACCATGATGAGCAGTCAGGCAGGCTGTGGATGAAATGATGAGGAACACATAATAAAATACACAAATCTCAGTTTCATAGAAGCTCTTTTAATTCTGCTTTTCTGACTAAAATTGGCATTTACCTGGTCTCTGAAGGTTAATGCCTGGTAACTAAGTCATTACCCAAATCACTTTTCCCTTTGGCCCATCAACAGTACTTTCTCTTGCAATATATTGGTGTGCTACCATATACAGGAAAAATATTAGAGATATTCTATACTTTATACATAGGTTGATGTATTGTTGGAGATTTTTTACTGTGCTGTTTTGGATAAAATAAAGAATTCTGTGTTAAGGCTAAGTTCTTAACTAAGATTGTTTACAAAATCTCATATGACAGTGATGATATCCTTGTTCCAAAATATTTTTAGACATTGCCAAATTTATTAGACCAGTTACTATAGTTTTTTACACAATGTAAGCAATAATATAAAAGAGGAAAAAAAATGATCATCTATAACAGCCTGGAAGAGGAGAGAAAATTGTTAAGACTTAACCCAAAAAACCCCTAAAAACCTTAAAGTAATGAGTATCACTTTTTCTGCTGCTAAAAAGATGAAATTTATATGATGCTCAAGACTGGGATATACTTTTCATCTGGTCATTAAAGCATCTTTGACTTTGGTGTGAAATATATATGACTCCATAAAAATAAAAAGAAAGAAAAGGATAAGTGTTTCCAAGGCTGCGGACATGGGAAAATCTTTATAATTGGTGGGAATCTAAATTACTATAGCCATTAAGGAAAACAATACAGAGGTAGGAAGAAAGAAAGAAAGAAAGAAAGAAAGAAAGAAAGAAAGAAAGAAAGAAAGAAAGAAAAGGAAGGAAGGAAAGAAGGGAGGGAGGGAAGGGGGGGGGGAGGCAGGCATGGTGGTATCCACCTGTAGTGCCACCTACTCAGGAGGCTAAAGCAGTAGGATAAATTGAACCCAGGAGATAGAGACTGTAGGGAATAGGGAAAAGGAATGTTACTAGAACTCCTGCAGTGAGTCCTAGTCTCCTGTGAGTCACAACAGCACAAGGTGAATTAATATATAGACAGAAATGAGACTTAGAGAAACTGAGCTTTGGGCCTGATCAATGCTGCTCTAGGCATCAAAGACAGACTCCCACCTTGCCACACCATTCACTACATTGGGAGTAACAGATGACTCTTGGAAGGCCGCGGAGATAATCCTAGAACAATGAGGAACTTATGCAGATGAAGATCCTAGGTCACAAGGAATTTATGTTGATTAGGAATCTGTCCATCAGCTGTCTTCAGCTGATATAATCCTGTCCTGGAGCATCACAGCATCATGGGACCACTGAGGTCTTAGCTGTGACTGGGTGCGAAAACAGTTATGTCTCAGCATGCTATAGCTGGCCTGTAGGTAGAAAAACTAGGCCTAATCATAATTTTAATTGTGAAATGATTTTTCCCCAAGATTATGTAGAATTGCTCCCGACAAGATACCAGCCCGGCAACATACCAAGAACCTGTCTCAAAAAAAAAAAATTTAAGGTAATTACCACTATGATCCAGAAATCACACTGTAGGGTATATATATCAAAAAGAACCAAAATCTATTTTGAGGAGATAGCTGTACACTGTATGTTTATTGTATCACTATTCATAATATTCAAGATATGGATCAACTCAGATGTCTATCAAAAACTGAATTAATGGAGCGGGGGATTTAGCTCAGTGGTTCCGCCGCCTGCCCTGCAAGTGCAAGGACCTGAGTTTGATCCCTGGTACCAAAAAAAAAAAAGAAAAACTGATTTAAGGGGCCAGGGATTTAGCTCAGTGGTTCCAGTGTCTGCCTCCTAACCAGAAGGTCCCAAGTTCAATCCCCGGTACCAAAAAAAAGGAAAATCTGAGATATATCTGTGTATATATACATATGTACACCCCCACATACACAGTGGGATAGTATTTAGCCACAGAAAGAATAAAATCCAGGGTGGGTCGCCCAATGCATTCACCTCATGGCAGGTGCTGTTCTGTCTCTTAAGACTGTAGATATCGTGAAAGGGAGCTGACACTTATTTACTTCTTAAATGAATATGCTTTTAGTCAGTGTATGTATGTGTTGTGTTTCTCTGATGTTAAGTAACTTTTGTTTTTTGTGGTACGGGGACAGAATCCAGGGTCCTGCACATACTACATAGAAAAGCACTCTAACACTGAGTTACATGTTCAGCCCTTGTTCTCCTCTCTTAAAGGAAACTTCCTGTCCTCTCACACATGTGACTACTTCACATTAAAGGCCTGTGGGTTTGAACAGGCTTGCATATCTTGCAGGTGACACTGTTCACACATCAATGGGACACTACATGTGTTTCATTTCATATTTACTTCTCAGAAGCCAGTTTTTTTCTCATTTTTTAAAAAAATAAATTGTATTTTATTTTATCCCTTTCCCCCCCTCAAGCTTTTTCTCATTTAAAAGTGCTCAGAAAGGCTGGGCACGGTGGCACACTCCTGTAATCTCAGAGCTTGGCAGGCTGAGGCAGGAGGAACGTCATGAGTTCAAGGTCAGCCTGGGCTACACAGTGAGTTCAAGGTCAGTTTAAATTACATAGTGAGACCCTGTCTCTAAAAAATATATATATATAGTGACAAATCACATAGATCTTTAAATACCAATTCTTCAGTTTAAAAATGTTGCTTGGAGGCCAGGGATTTAACTCAGTGGCACCCTGCCTCCCTGACAAGTGCAAGGTCCTGAGTTTGATTCCCTGTACCAAAAAAATATTGCTTGGGAGCCAAATGATGTAGTCAGTAGTACAGCACTTACCTAGAATTCCCTAAGGCTCTGCATTTATCCTAAGCATAGCAAAAAAAAAAAAAAATTATATATATATATATATATATATATACATACACACATACATACACGTATGTATATATTTGCATGCATTATCATTAACAAGCAGGTGGATGGGCTTTGCTGAGTCTTAAAGAACAGGTAAAATAAAGATTTCGGCAAGATCTTCATCTTATCTCTTCCATAACCACAAAGAAGTGTCCTAGAAAAAAATCTTCCTCTAAACTAGGTGTAGTGACACAGACCTGTAATCTCAGTATTCAGGGGGCTGACACAGGAGAACCAAGAGTTCAAGGCCACCCTGGACAATTTAGGGAGACACTGTCTCAAAAAAACCCAAACTAGAAATCTCCTGAATCCTTTTTTTTTTTTGAGACAGGGTCTCACTATGTAGCCCAGGCTGGCCTCCAACTCATGGTGTTCCTCCTTTCTCAGTCTCCCGAGTGCTGGGATTACAGGCGTGCACCACCCCACCTGGCTCTAAATCCTGCATTTTCAGGAAAAACAACCTAAAAATAAGGAGTTTGGTTAACTGTCAATGTGCTGCTTGATCACCTGTTAAAATCTCTTGTGTGATCATGGAAAAGCTGTAGATGTCCGACTTCACCGTGGCTGCCTTCTGAAAGATCACTTCTGGTGAGGCACAGTTGTACAGCTCCGTGGGGAGGGGAACTTGATGCAGGTCCCTGTGTCTACCACTGCCCTGGCTATGGAAGGAAACACACAAGGCAGGGATGGTGTCTTAAAGGGACCCTGTGATCATCGCACAGTGCATCGGTGAAATCTTTGCTGTGAAGACTGGCAAGCTCCTTGAGCTTCTGGAAAGGTAGTGAGACACTGAGCTACTCACACTGCCTCAGCGTTGTTCCAGTGCCTGCAGTTCCTTACCATTCCTGCCCACCCAGGCCCCTCCTGCCCCCGATCATCTGGCCACTCTCCTGCTCACCGGCTCCACTCAAGTCACAAGAGCCATCTCTGTCACTCCTGCATGTCAAGCTATTACCACCTCAAATCTCTGCACCAGTGGCTTCTTCTGCCGGCATTCTCTGCCCATGGAACCTAGCACTAGCACTACTGGTTGCCTCTTGTAACTGAGGTATTCCTTTGAAAGTCACTTCTTTTTTTGGTACCAGGGATTAAACTCAGGACCTTGCACTTGTGAGGCAGGTGTGGTACCACTGAACTAAATCCTAGCCCCTGAAAGTCACTTCTTCAGGGAGGCCTTCCCTGACCATCTAATCTAAAGTAGTCCTGTATCAGGGGCTTCAGAACACTTACTATGTGAATTTCTTTTGTTCATTTATTTAGTGTATTATCTATCTCCCACTATAGTCAGCTCTCTGAGAACAGGCACCTTATCTGTCTATTGTATCACTGCATCTCCAAGTTCACACTAGGACAGGATGCTTGCTGTTCAACAAATCAATGTAAGACTCTCTCAAAACCTCCCTCCAGTCCCATCTTCTGTATCAAAACCACCTGGGACCTCTCTCTACCCCAGCCCTCCTGGGAACTGACCCTCTCAGTTGAGCACTCCGAGGTTCACTGATTGTCTGAGTAACTCATCTTCCAAAACAGATTCTTTAAAAGCTAAATCAACAGATCCTCAAAGTCTCCTGGGCCAACAGGAGTCCTCAGGGTGAGGTCAGTGTTGACTTCTGCACATGACTGTCTTGAGAATCAAACAGATTTATATCACGGGCCCAGAGTGGTAGTGCACACCTGTGACCCAAGGTTCTAGGGATAATGGGGCAAGAGGAGTCCAGCTCGAGGCCAGCCTGGACAACTTAGCAAGACCTTATCTCACACACATACATAATAATAATAATAATGACAATGATAATGACAAAAAGGGACGCAGATGGAGCACAGAGCTCCCCAGATGGAGCACAGAGCTCCCTGGTCAATGCCCAGAATTTCTTTTTTTAAAGTGTTTAAAAAGCGAAGGAATTTTTAAAAATAAGTTATTCAATGGTCTGGCGTAAGAATACATTTTAGAGAACAGAATGATTTTTTCAGACTTCCAGCAAATTTCCCTAAATAATTCTTTTCCAGAGCTTTTGATAGTTAGCAATGAGATACAGAAACTATGAAGTATCGAAGCCATGATGGTACACACCTACAATCTCACCACTCTTGGAGGCTTCAGCAAGATAAGAGCATGCTCAAGCCCAACCCCAGCAACACCAAGCCTTGGTGAGAAACTATTTCACCATAGCCCTTACGGTGTTTAACTGTAACATCAACTTTTCTAAAAAACATCTCTTATTAATCACACGTAAAGTACAGCTTCCTAACTCAACACTCACATGCTTAAAAACACTACTTACAAACTAAGATACGTCAGGTCAACTAAATAAGAATAATCATATATTTTCACCACATTTTGTCTGTGGTGGCACTAAACAGAAACCACTCAGACTGCGTTCCTTCCCCCTCACTCACTCCGAAGAGAGAATGAGAACGATCATCAATGGCAAACGGCAGCTGCAGCAAAGCAACACCAAGAGCCAGCTTCACGCTCAGGAAGGAACACTACGCCTCCTCCTCGTGGTTTCTGGTACTCTACACGATCAGAGAAGCTTCTCTAGTAACGAACTATAGAAATGATCCCTGAAAGTATAGCCTTAACCCCACCTCCCGCGACGTTCCTTCCTCCACGAAACGCACACACATCTCGCCGATGGCGAGGACGTCTTGGGACAACACTTCACACGCAGGCCTACTGACATGCTCCCCGAAGAAAGCGTTTTTCCCTTACCAGGTGCCACAAAGCACTCGGAACGCTCTTTCGCTCTTGCCCTTTCGCAAAAATAATTCACGCCGTCACCTTAATTAACATACGGTCGCGAAACAGCCAATCACGAGCCAGTTACTTCTAGCCCCCCCCCCCGGCCCGCCCCGCTTCCGCCGCGCGGCCGCTTCCCACGCGTCACGTTGACGGCCAACAATGGCGGCACGCCTCGGTTTGGACCGCGGGGCCCAGCAAGGGAGGCCTCTCGCGAGAAAAAACGAACCGAAAAGTAGACGGTGAGAGCCACCATACAAAGCCAAAGACTACGACATCTGCACCCCATACCCCTTTTTTTTTGTACCGGGGATCAAACTTAGGACCTTGCGCTTGCAAGGCAGGCGCGGTGCCACTGAGCTAAATCCCCGGCCTCAACCGCATGCCTTATTTTTAAATTTTATCCTGTGAGCAAAAGATCGGGGATATATAATCCCTTTGGGTACCTACTCCCAATCAAGGAATTTTTACTCTACAAATGACACGGCTGTGTTTAAACGAACAACAGTATTTTATCCCCTCGCAGTAAGCCTAAAGTTGGGTGGCTTCCCATTGCTTGGGACAAGGACGAGGCTTTTCTACATCCTTACCAGGCCGTGCGTGCTCTGGCTCACACTCCCCGCTTGGAGCCCTGCTAGGCGCCCCGGGCTCGCAGGGGTTCCCTTCTGGCCCCAGGCCTGTCCACAAGGCACTCTCCAGCAGGGATTCTTCCCTCAACTGAGCTGTCATTCAGACATTCAGACATCTGTCCAAGTGTCTGTCTCCCAGAACCTTCCCTCGACCTTTTGCAGACTGTGTGTCCTATCAGATTGTCTCCCCTACGCTACAGCCTAGGAACTGCCAAGTGTATCTCCCTAGGTTAGTGGCGGGTCTACTCACCTGCCTAACAGGAGCAAGGCCAAGTAGAGAAGAGCAGCAGAGAGCAGTGAGGGATTACACTTCTCCATGGATCCCTCCTGGTAGTGTTAGCTATGTTAGGGCAGGAAGACACTACCTAATTACCCTTTGTTCTTTCTGAAGATGTTCCTAGAATGAACAGTGGAAGACAGACATACTGTCATCCTTAGCACAAAGTGAATGCATGCTTACTGTCTGCTATGCTAAAGAGAATGTCTCCCTCTGAAGCAAAGGGCACATATCCAGATAGAAAGGATTCACGCTCCATCAACTCAGGGTTCCTCTACAGCAAAGCAACACAGTACATATTCAAAGCTATCTGTCTCTCTTTGCCTGGCTCTATGGAAACTGGGGCAAAGGGAACCAATCACAAAAATGCTGGTATCCTGGCCACTGCTCTTGTTAGGAGTAAAAAACAATCATTCATCTCTGACTCAGTAATTTGGTGTCTTCTACCAGCATCTATCAACCTGTAGATGGCTAATTTGGCAAGTCAGCCCAAGAGAACATACTGCTTACCTCACAATCCTCAACCTTCAAAGAGAACCAACATAGCCTCTACAGGACCAAACCTTCTCTAGTAACAAACTATACAAAGGGTTCTTAATGTTATACTCCCAGCTGTGCGCTCCCTGCCTCTAGTGGGTCCGTTGTGGTCCTACACTTTGCAGTGACAGAGTTGGGTTGTTTGGTTTGGTTTTTGTTTTGGGGAAGAAAGAATACCAGATTAAGTGATCTGGTATTCTCTTTCATAGTTTATAACTCATAAAATGTTGGTCAAAAGACAAAATTCAAAACATTTATTTTTACTTGTAAACCTTCCAAACTTTTCTTTTTAAACCTTCCAAACTTTAAAGCAGCAATTAAGCTCATTAACACAGAGCTTCTTAGCAACTGGTCACTTGCTTTGTTTTCTGCAGGCTTTTCTTTCCTAACACTGGAGAGCTGTGATTACTCTGCAGACTTCACAGAGCCTTGCCTCTGTCAAGGGCGGGTCACAATCACACTGCCATGTGCTAAGGACAGCTGTTCATCCTGCAGGTCAGTGCATATGGCCTCTCACCTGAATAAAGAAATCAGTCAAGTTGAGAGACCAGGTACCTTCTGTTTTGAGAGACAGAGAGCTGGGCGTGGTGGCGCACGTCCATAATTCCAGCACTTGGTAGGCTGAGGCAGGAGGATCACTTCAGGAACACTTCAAATTCAAGGCCAGCCTGAACTACATAGCTGAGACTCTGTTCCTAAAAAGCAGAAAAGAATAAGAAAAAAAGAAAACAGGGGTTGGTGGTGAGAGATGGTACACACCCCTAACACCACATACTCTTAATCATGAACACAATGGTTTGTTAAATACTTACTTGATTTGGGCTGGGGATTTAGCTCAGTGGTTCTGCTGTCTGCCTCACAAGCGCTAGGACCGGAGTTCGATCCCCTGTACCAAAAAACCCCGAACAAACAAATACTTAATTTTCAAAGGTTTAATCATTATCTCATTTTACCCTCGACACAACTGAAGGATAAGGGTTATTTCTTTCTTCTTAAGATGCTAGCTCTACAGCAAACAAATATATGAACAAATGTTCAACATCACTTGTCATTCGAGAGATGCAGATGAAAACAACACTGAGATTCCACCTCACCCCAGAAAGAATGGCTGCTATCAAGAAATCAAC